GATTAGGGGCTGAATTAGGAGTATGATAATGGGTAGGGTTAGTGGATGGATTAGGGGCTGAATTAGGAGTACGATAATGGGTAGGGTTAGTGGATGGATTAGGGGCTGAATTAGGAGTACGATAATGGGTAGGGTTAGTGGATGGATTAGGGGCTGAATTAGGAGTACGATAATGGGTAGGGTTAGTGGATGGATAAGGAGCTGAATTAGGAGTACGATAATGGGTAGGGTTAGTGGATGGATTAGGAGCTGAATTAGGAGTATGATAATGGGTAGGTTAGTGGATGGATTAGGAGCTGAATTAGGAGTATGATAATGGGTAGGTTAGTGGATGGATTAGGAGCTGAATTAGGAGTACGATAATGGGTAGGTTAGTGGATGGATTAGGAGCTGAATTAGGAGTACGATAATGGGTAGGGTTAGTGGATGGATTAGGAGCTGAATTAGGAGTACGATAATGGGTAGGTTAGTGGATGGATTAGGATCTGAATTAGGAGTACGATAATGGGTAGGGTTAGTGGATGGATTAGGAGCTGAATTAGGAGTATGATAATGGGTAGGTTAGTGGATGGATTAGGATCTGAATTAGGAGTACGATAATGGGTAGGTTAGTGGATGGATTAGGGGCTGAATTAGGAGTACGATAATGGGTAGGGTTAGTGGTTGGATTAGGAGCTGAATTAGGAGTACGATAATGGGTAGGGTTAGTGGATGGATAAGGAGCTGAATTAGGAGTACGATAATGGGTAGGGTCAGTGATTGGATTAGGGGCTGAATTAGGAGTACGATAATGGGTAGGGTTAGTGGATGGATTAGGATCTGAATTAGGAGTATGATAATGGGTAGGTTAGTGGATGGATAAGGAGCTGAATTAGGAGTACGATAATGGGTAGGGTTAGTGGATGGATTAGGAGCTGGGTGGGATACATGTGGGTAGGTTAGTGGATGGGTGAGGCACAATTAGGAGTACGATAGCCAATATGCTTAGGGTTAGTGGATGGATAGGAGCTGGGTGGGAGTATGATAATAGGTAGGTTAGTGGATGGATTAGGTGCTGAATTAGGAGTATGATAATGGGTAGGGTTAGTGGATGGATTAGGGGCTGAATTAGGAGTACGATAATGGGTAGGGTTAGTGGATGGATAAGGAGCTGAATTAGGAGTACGATAATGGGTAGGGTTAGTGGATGGATAAGGAGCTGAATTAGGAGTATGATAATGGGTAGGGTTAGTGGATGGATAAGGAGCTGAATTAGGAGTATGATAATGGGTAGGGTTAGTGGATGGATAAGGAGCTGAATTAGGAGTACGATAATGGGTAGGGTTAGTGGATGGATTAGGAGCTGAATTAGGAGTACGATAATGGGTAGGGTTAGTGGATGGATTAGGGGCTGAATTAGGAGTATGATAATGGGTAGGGTTAGTGGATGGATTAGGAGCTGAATTAGGAGTATGATAATGGGTAGGGTTAGTGGATGGATAAGGAGCTGAATTAGGAGTACGATAATGGGTAGGGTTAGTGGATGGATTAGGAGCTGAATTAGGAGTATGATAATGGGTAGGTTAGTGGATGGATTAGGATCTGAATTAGGAGTACGATAATGGGTAGGTTAGTGGATGGATTAGGATCTGAATTAGGAGTACGATAATGGGTAGGTTAGTGGATGGATTAGGATCTGAATTAGGAGTACGATAATGGGTAGGGTTAGTGGATGGATTAGGGGTTGAATTAGGAGTACGATAATGGGTAGAGTTAGTGGATGGATTAGGAGCTGAATTAGGAGTACGATAATGGGTAGGGCTAGTGGTTGGATTAGGGGCTGAATAAGAAGTACGATAATGGGTAGGATTAGTGGTTGGATTAGGGGCTGAAATAGGAGTATGATAATGGGTAGGTTAGTGGATGGATTAGGGGCTGAATTAGGAGTACGATAATGGGTAGGGTTAGTGGTTGGATTAGGAGCTGAATTAGGAGTACGATAATGGGTAGGGTCAGTGGTTGGATTAAGGGCTGAATTAGGAGTACGATAATGGGTAGGGTTAGTGGTTGGATTAGGAGCTGAATTAGGAGTATGATAACTGGTAGTGTTAGTGGTTGGATTAGGATCTGAATTAGCAGTACAATAATGGGTATGGTTAGTGGTTGGATTAGGGTCTGAATTAGGTGAAAAGTTATAAATGTTTGGAATATTTGTATACAAACAGTAGCAAAATACAAATATGGGGTGCTGACAGTAGTAAATCACGAGTTGTCTACTAATTTTCCACAAATAAAACACTTGTTAAGAACTACAAAAACTAAACTATTTTGATCGAGGTTCATGATAAAATGCTAAAATGAAAAGTGTCAAAATATTCTTAGTTAAGATGCCTGGGGGATGTACTTTCTAGAATTATATACTTTTGTATAGAGGTTTTGGATTCTTGGCACTACTATAAAAGTTGTAATCTCAGCATGCCAAATTTTTCAGTTTTAGC